GTGATAGCATGTGGTATGTTTTGGTTATGTATTTTTCGTTTGGTGTTGTAACGATTATACATTTCTTGGTTGTGCATGTTCTTGTTTGATTGTTGCGCGATCAATTGGTCCAATTTTGGGTCTACGGTTGGTCGTGCATGTTCTTGTTTGATTGTTGCACGATCAGTCGAGCAGACCTAATCTAGACCAGGGAACGTCGCATTGTTGATGTTTCTGGGCGAATCTGATCGAGTATTGGACGGGAGTGTTAACCTTAGTGAGACAGTGTTGTGTGATTCGAGGTGTTGATCTCGAGTGTTGTTGGCGAGTGAGCCAGGTGGTTGAGACCGTAGGGAATGGTATCGCGAGATTCGAGGACGAATCTTGGTTAGTGAGAGATAATTATAACACCTGTGAACCAAAAAGTGGATTTTTGGTTAGTGCGTCGATCGACATGGGTTGATTTTGAACCGACAGGTTCGATTTTAAATTGTCTGGTTCGCGTGGTTGGTTAGGAGAAACCCTAAGGGGCAGTATAAAAAGGGAGTAGCCGTGTTTAGGCTGCGTTTTTTGGCAGAAAACACTCAGATATTTGAGTGGAGAGAGAGGATTTTCGTGGGTTGTGAGAGAGAATAAGAGATTGTCGTTTTGGAGACAGTTCTGGCTGTTCTAGAAGAGTAGAGGAACGAACAGTATAATCAAATCGGATTGGAGTGACACTTCTAGGGTAAGTTCTCCACTCTCGTATCTAGCTTTGGACGAAATCGGTTTATCATTTGGATTACTATTCTGAGAGTAATGGTTATTTTTCCGAGAGAGATTCGTGCAGAATTGGATCTGCAATTAGTCCACTTTGTGGGTGTTTTTCCGTTGAACCAGAAGGAATTAGGAGGCGATCTATATAGCATTGGAAAGGTCCCGGTCTCACGATTCTAGATCATGTTTCCGATCATGATTCTGAGGTACGCTCCGTTCTCAGCGTATTTTCGAAGTCGGCTAGTTGTTTCTGTTTTCAGGAACCCTAATCCGGTTTAGGAGAAATTCCAA